GATCCATGTATTTCCCCTTGGGCACTGGTTGTTACCTTGCCTCTGTAGGCATGTGGATTGTGGCAGGGTTATCCTTTACTTTATAGCTAATATCCACTTAAAGTGCCTCCAGAGCTGTGGTTTTAAAAGCATGCATGACTACACCCTTTGTCTTTAGGTATATCTAAGCTGTATGTGATCATGACCATGACCTTCTGGCTCACTATAAGGTTTATTTTGAAGTCAAACAAAAGATGAGAATTATTTAGAGCACACTGTCATCACAGGATATTTGACAACACCGTGTGAATGGCATCTTCCAATTGCTTTTATAAAGAGCTGAATGGCCAATAGCTATGTAGGAGAGAATAGGTGGGACTTCCTGCAAGAAAGAGAAGCTGGACCTGAATCTGAGTGCCTGGTAGAAGCCATTGAGCCACAAAGCAAGTCATGAAGGAAAAGGGCCACAAGATAGAAAGTAAATTAGTAGAAACAGGGTAATTGAAGTTATAAGAATAAATTGGGAACAAGTCTAAGGTGAAGGCCAACCTTTCATAATTAATAAGTCTCTGTGTCATTTTGGGCAGTGGTGGCAGCCCAAAAGAAAATCCAAATACACTTTCATGATTTTATTTTCAAGAACACCAAATACACTTTATTAGCATGAAAAACCAATCAGAACAAGACACAGCAAGCTGAAACAGACATTGGCAGTCAAAAGGGTTAGTGTTGCATACAGCCTTTTTTTTTTTCCCCTTCTAGTAGCCCTGGTGATACACAGAGGGATATAAAATAACCCCTGAAGCAGCTGATGTGGAACCCAGCAGTGCTCACCAGCAGGCACAGAGCACAGAGACAGACAATGAGATTGGACTTGGCTACTGTAGTGCAAATGTCTGAGAACTCAGTCCAACACTGAGAAGCAACACTAGAATCTGACAATTACTCAAGCTGTACTACATCCTATACTAAGTGACAAAAAGGTGGCAAGTGATGTTATTTACAGACATCGCAGTTGTACAGTACCTTTTATATCTACAATTCGGGTTTTCTGTGAAGAGTTAACTGCACTAAAATGCTATAAATTGTACTTAAGTAATTCAGCTATGAGCTGACAGAGAAATACTGCCATCCAAATGATTATAGTTTATCATAATTTGATATCAGCAACTCGCAGAATTACTCTCATCTGATGTGTCTGGGCATCTTCTAGTCTTGTTTCCCTCCAGGTTCACAAGCTCAAGAGCACAGGAAAAGATCCATTCTGATGAAAATGTGGACTGCATGTGTCCACTGAGAAAAAAATCCCATTCGAATCTCCAACTGCACACCTGTCTGAAGCCACAGCCAACATCCCAGAAACAAGACTAGTACTAACCTGTAACTCTGACCTTGGAAGAATTATCTTAGAGACCTTGGTTTAGTAGAGAACAAAAGGACACTGATCATAAACCACATGGTGACTGAACCTGTGGCCAGAAAAATTGCATTTTTTTTTTCTCTCCCAAAGGAAGACAATCTTTTGTTTTCTTACTTGTCTTGGACTTTCAATGCTTGATTTATACTTAAGTACAAACATCACTACTTTTGGAAGGTTATAAAAAAATTCTTAGAAAAACTAATTTCAAACATGAGTCACACTGTTCAACTACCCATCCAGTATTAGTAACATGTTTTTCAGTATGAAATAGAATTCATCATAGCAAATGCCCCAGAATTGCCTCACTCAGTCACCAGAGCCATTTAAAACCAACCAGCTCACTAATTTGTGGTGTTTTCACAGCTCTGGACACCTGAACACAATGTGTTGTTTCTAGGCACCTTTGTCTGTGTAATAGAAGATCACACTGGATAAAGGCTAATGACTAAGTTCACATTCTGAGTGAAAAACCCTAGAAGCCAACTCTGCTTCCAATGATTCTACTGAGAGCAGACAAAAGGAACAGAGGTTACTTTGTCTTGACTTGTTCTCACTCTAACCAGCAAACCATAACTTTCTGTTTATAGTGACACTCTTTTTAAAAAGCTCACCAATACCATCATACATAGTGCCCCTGCAGACCACTGCAGGGCAGATATACTGCGGTCTGAAAAGAAAAGTCCTATTCAGTGATATTGTAAGAAATATTTCAAAACACATGCAAGAGCTGGGTCTTTATAATGTTCCCGAAGCCCAGTGACAATGGAGGAGTGAAATTCACAAGGGTTGGGGCATCAAAGCTGAAGTTGTAGTTCCACTGTTCAAACTGGGCATGCAGGGAAGGTCCCAGAAAGAAGTCAGCCTGAGCAGAGTCCCTGAGCAAAACCATGTCCTCATGTTTACTTTGTAGGTAGGCTTCTGCTTGCTATGGGACCATCACGCTGCAGTATCATGGATTCCCTGTGATCTGAAGCAAATCAGGCACAAGGCACAGAATGAAACTGATCTGCTTATGAGCTTTCCAAGTTCCCTGTCTGCTAACATGCAAGGGGAGATCCCAGGATACCTAATGCTGCATCTGTGTCCATGACTGCAGGGACAGGGTGGTTGAGTCCTCTTCTGAGTTGCAATTCGTTTGTGGTACTGAAGAACCATGACCACTTATCTCCATCATCCCAGGGGACTCACTTTGGTCTAATTTGTACAATGGATTGATCTGTGCATTAGCTGCAAATGTGTGTATTTGTTGCATTGGGAGGGGGGATCCACCCCTTCTTCAATGCTCAACCATCTTCTCTCTGAGAGCCTATCTTTCTCTATCTTCTGGAGACACCAGTGAGGGATCGAATCTAGCAAAAAATGTTGAATGAGGGCTCACAGGAGCTGTATACTGTTTAATCTATTGTCACTTTAGTACTAATCTGAGGCAGCAGGAAAAGGACATTTCTTCAGCATTAATTCAGAAAGATGAATTTTTCTTTTATTGGAAAAGCAAGGCTTTGATTGCCTGGTGTAAGTTCTCATGGGGAAACCCAAACCCAGTGTCCTGGAGCCTCTGTCTCAGTAAGGTGCTCCTAACCACAGGACTCCACAGTGCCTGTATCCTCTGAAAGCTGCTTTGCATTCTACCAAAATTTTTCTCAGTATTCAATAAACTCTGAGTCTTTTGTGGAAAAGGACTACTTCTCCTCCCCTCTCCATGGGGTGTAGTGAGAGTAGGAGTCTCTTTGAGCAAGCTTTGTTCCCTGGTGGCACTTGACTCATTGTCCTTTCTCAACGCTTATTTCAACAATCTGCAGGATCTCCACAGCATAGTTTTGGCTTCATCTTGAAAAGATCTTTGAAGGGTTTATTCCCAGATGTAAGGCAACAATTCCTCATAAAGGACTGCTCTGCTGCTGGGGAGTGGAGTCTCCCAGACTGATGCTTTTCTCAAAGAGACACCTGCTAGAGTTCATGTCCACATTTTAGGGGTGGCTTCCTCCTTCATGGCTAAACAGAGACTGGCACCTGGGTTTCAAGTTGTTCCACATTTCCTCCACTTTATCAATTGATTTAAAAAGTGAAAGCCTACTGCGTGCAAGATCCCACTGTGCATGGTATGGTGCACAGAGGCTCAATGCAGTGCTTGTCTTCCTCTTCCTGGTCCATCCTGGTCAAGTGCCCTGCCACCTGCACCAAGGTGCAGAGGTGGCTGCCCAAGGAGTACTGTGCCAGGTGTTGGGACCTGGGCAAGGAGTAGATGCTGTCTGAGTGCTGGATGACCATGAAGGACACTCAGTGGCCAGAACACTCATGGTGGCCTAATCCAGGGCACCTACAGCTAGGCAGGATCACCAGGGCAGCACTACCAGGGCAGCACAGCCAGCGACTGAGCAATTCCTACAGTTTTTGAGTTCCATCCTAGGCTACTGCCAAGCTAGGGCAGCCTTGCTTCCTCAGGAATGAATCTGGCAACTCCAGCTTGACCAGAAATCCCCTGCTAACACAAACCCACCCATTCCAGGACGCCCCCCCTCCCAACCCCATCAGAATGAAAAATACAGGACAGGCAGGACCACCCATTAATATTTTGTTGTTAATGTTTACAATTTAGAACTAGGTAAAGGATTTGTCAAATTGAATGCATTCCAGGGATGGAACTTTCAATGAATAGCAAGAAAGGAATTGTAAAGATATGCTTGGTCAGAAGATGAATTTTGTGATGCACAGCAAAATTACAGATAAAACTCAAGGCCTTTTAACATTTTTATGTTATTACATTTGTCCTCATTATGATTGTTTTTATAAGAGACAGGGTTCATGTAATCATAGCTGTCATGGAATTTACTATGTAGTTCAGGATGGTCTCACACTTAGAGATCCTACTACTCTGTCTCCTGAGTGTGGGACTAAAGGCTTGCACCATCATGCCTGGTACCTATTTAATTTTGGATGTTAAACAAGATAAATGTTTTTATGACAGCTTTTCCCAGGGGCTGGAGATATATCACTTAGTGTTTAAGTTCATTGGCTGCTCTTTCAGAGGATAGGGGTTCAATTCCCAACACATACCCAGCAGCTCACAATTATCTGTAACTGCAGCTTCAGGGCATCTGATGACCCTTTTTGGCCGCACCTATATGTAGTGCCAGCAAAACAAGCAGGCAAAGCACAATGACAGTAAAAGAAATAAGATTTTACCACAGTAACATGGGGGGAATTTTATTTTGGCATATACTATGTGATATTTTCTAAGATTTAAACCTCATTAAAGATTTCTACAAGTTTCTTACGTTTATCTTTCTATTATAGATACTGTTGTGATTTATAAGCAGAGAATACAAGAAAACACTATGTCACAAAATTTACAATGGTGTCTTTCTCTAGTATGAATTTCCTAATGTTTCCTAAGACATGTGAGATGGAATAGGATACATCAGTCTTTGCATTTGGAAATTTTCTTTCCAATATGAATTTTCTGATGGGTTCTATGATGTTTGGACCTAGTAAAAGATTTGTCATATTCCTTACAACTATAAGGTGTCATGAAAAACATATTTACAGAATGACATCTCCCCATCAATAAGGTCTCTCTCCAGTATGAAGTCTTTGGTATGTTCTAAGACGTGTGCCCCGGGGTAAAGGACTTGTCACAATGTGAATGTTTGTAAGGTTTCTCCCTAGTATAAACTCTCTGGTGTTTTCTAAGATTTGTGCCACTGGTAAAAAAAATGTCTGATTCCTTAGGACTGCAAGGTCTCTTTCTAGTATGAACTCTCTGATGTACTATAAGAAGTGACAGCTTGGTAAAGGACTTGTCACATTTCCTACATTTGTAAGGTTGTTCCTCAATGTGAACACTTTGATGGTTTCTAAATTGTGAGTTCCAGGTAAAGGATTTGTCACATTTAATACATTTGTAAGGTTTCTCCCCAGTATGAACCCTCTGATGTGTTCTAAGATGTGTTTCCCGAGTAAAGGACTTATTACATTCCATGCATTTGTAAGGTCTCTCTCCAGTATGAACTCTCTCATGTCTTGTAAGATCTGAGCAACAGGTAAAGGATTTGTTACATATCTTACAACTGTAAAGTCTCTTTCTAGTATGAACTCTCTGATGTGTTCTAACTTTTGAGTTCCAGATCAAGGACTTGTCACTTTCTATAGATTTGTAAGATTTCCCCCCAGGGTGAATTTGCTGATGTCTTCGAAGTTGTGAATTCCAGGTAAAGGACTTGTCACATTCCATACATTTGTAAGGTTTCTCTCCAGTATGAAGCCTCTGATGTGTTCTAAGATGTGTGTCCCGGGTAAAGGACTTATCACATTCCATGCATTTGTAAGGTCTCTCTCCGGTATGAATTCTCTCATGTCTTTTAAGATCTGAGCAACTGGTAAAGGATTTGTCACAATCCTGACAACTGTAAGGTCTCTCGCTAGTATTAACTCTCTGATGTGTTCTAAGTTGTGAGTCTTGGGTAAAGGACTTGTCACGTTCCACAGATTTGTGAGAGTTCTCCTCAGTATGAACACTCCGATGTCTTTTTAAGTTGTGAGTTCCAGGTAAAGCACCTGTCACATTCCATACATTTGTAAGGTTTCTCCCCAGTATGAACCCTCTGATGTGTTCTAAGATGTGTGTCCCGGGTAAAGGACTTATCACATTCCATGCATTTGTAAGGTCTCTCTCCGGTATGAATTCTCTCATGTCTTCTAAGATCTGAGCAACTGGTAAAGGATTTGTCACATTCCTGACAACTGTAATATATCTCTCCAGTATGAACTCTCTGATGGTTTCTAAGTTGTGAGTCATGTGTAAAGGACTTGTCACATTCCATACATTTGTAAGCATTTTCATCAGTGTGAGCACTCTGATGGTTTCTAAGTTGTGAGTACCAGGTAAAGGATTTGTCACAGTGCAAACATTTGTAAGGTTTCTCTCCAGTATGAACCCTCTGATGTGTTCTAAGATGTATTTCCTGGGTAAAGGACTTGCCACATTCTAAGCATCTGTAAGGTCTCTGTCCAGTATAAATTCTCTCATGTCTTCTAAGATCTGAGCAACAGGTAAAGGATTTGCCACATTCCTGAGAACTGCAAGGCTTCTTTCTAGTATGAACTTTCTGATGTGCTTTAAGTTGTAAGCTCTGGGTAAAAGACTTGTTACATTCCATACATTTGTAATGTTTCTCCCCAGTATGAACACTTTGATGTACTGTAGGACTTGAACACTGGTTAAAGGATTTTTCACAAGCATTGAGTTCGGAGGGTTCAGTTCCAGTATGAATTCTCTCATGTTCAATGAGGCATGAGGCAGTCCTGAAACATTTCCCGCATATCCCACACTCGTATGGTTTCTCTCCGATACTGATTGGTTGTTGCAAAAGCCTGTATGCAGAGCTGAAAGAGTCATCATGTTCTCCCTGCCTGTGATCTTTCTTTGCAGTGTTGACTCTCTGATCTTCAGTAATGTTGGAACACAAATTTAAAGATTCCTCACGGTCTTTAGATTGGCAAGGTTCTTCTCCAGTGTGCATGCTTTCATGTCTACCTGGGTTTGATGAGTCAACAGAGGCAACCCTGTGGTTACTGCATGTGTAGTTGTCCGTAGTTTCACTTGTTCTATAAAGTGCACACGTGGAGGGGCCATGAAGCACTTTGCTAAGCACATTACAACGACAACACTCCTTTTCAGCCTTCCCATGGTGATGGACAGAATCACATTTGCAATACTTCTCTGAAAAGGAGTATAGTTCAGATTAAGAGGGCTTGTTCCAATAATAAACATATGATAAATGACTGTCTCCATAAGTTGTCATTTAACGTAAGTGAACCTGGAACTCCAGATTAGAGCTCACAGTAATGAATATCTTTCAATCATTGTAATTGTATGGATTCTCACAAACACAGCATGACAGCCTTCAAAAAGGTCAGTGAGTTATAACAGGTATCTTTCTCAAAAACCTCTAACTGGAAGGAGATGGAAAAAATAATTGATTGCCATGAATTAGCTTTGAGAGAGAACTTTTTTTGGGAAGCCTCCATCTTAAACCCTACCCACCTGCTGTCTAGCCTCTAGCCTGGACCCTAAGAGAGCACCGAGGCTGGAATTTGAATGCTCTCCTTATTTTGGCACCTGAAATACAGGGAATCAGGAAGGTAAATTCAGACCAGTCCTTGAGGGACTGTCTCCCAGGAAGACTGGCACTGGAGGTCTCAGTAATTGTAGGCTACAGCACTATCTCACCAGGAAGGTTGCTACAAAACTGGAAGTCCCAGAACTTTTGGTGGTGAGTAAAAGAAAAATTTCCCTTAATCCGCCCCACCAAGGCACCTCAAAATGTTTCTTCTGGAAGTGTCCCAGAGACACTTCCTAATTGGCTGCTTCTCAAAGAGCCCTCACCAATGAAACACTATTGGTTCCAAGGACTTAAATGTTTTGTTAAGGATAACTAACTTCCTCCCCCCTCCACCCTCTCTAAGTGCTCTCTTTATACAGTCTTCCTTCTTACTAGGGGTCAAACAAAATCTACACTGCAACAGTCTATTATTAAGAATAATGGCTCTCTCTTCAAGGGACAGAGCTGCTACTTCACTCATGGTCTAACAAAGAAACAACAATACTTGGCGATCCTAATTGGTGTTACCTGTTATGGCCACCTAATCATTCAACAAGATTGCCTGAAAACGTAAACAAGGGTCAAATGTTTGCCCTGCATTACTATTTCAGATCCCTGCCTGCTCTGAATGGGAGCTAAAGGATTAAATTCTGCCTTTAAATCTCTGACCTGTCTGGAAGTTCAGATCCTTGGAGCCTCTTGCTGTTATTCATTTAAAAAACTGAGCAAGTTTCACTAACAAGGTGTTAGCATAAGGCTGTGCTGCTTCAAGAGACTATTTCAGCTGCTTGACTCTTACAACTTTTCCTCCTATTGTTACACTGCATATCTGCCTTCCTCTCTAAATGGATGAAGCTATCTGGCTACTGGTTTCTTTACAAAATATGAGGCCACATATAGGAACTTCCAGTTACCCCACCAGAATCCAGTTCATGGAGACAGGATGCTCTCTCCAGTCTCCAGGGTATGCAAAATTCTACAGGGTTTCTAGGTTCACTTGCAGACAACTACTGGGCTCAAATTCCATAAAAGCCCACTCTCTTTACATCTCTGTTCTCTAAGTTTAATTATTTGCACTCTTCTGAGCCCTTCTGTTCTGGGTGGCCAGCACCTAAAACATCCCAGGGCTGCTACTTGCTTTTTGTCTAAGTCTGAACTCTACAGATTCCACTTAACTCTAAAATTTTAATCTCTTATCCTAACACTATGAACCTATTTCTTAAGCTGTCTGTTTGCCTTCTTATTAAATATCTGAGTTTACCTGTCCTCTCTATCATCCTGTTATATCCGTAACAATTTAAAATACACTTCTCCTTTATCCATAAAGCAGCTGCTTTGGTCTTTTTAATCGCCTCATTGTTTATGATACATTATAAAAGATTCATAATTACCAATGTCCTTATATTTTATATTTCTGATTAAGAGTATCCTCACTTCTGGTTAAGTCTCCTTATGTATATTGTATTTTTGTTTAAGAACTTTTGTTTCCACATTAAGATAACATCATTATTTTTTAGGCTAAATTTAACAGAGATAAAACATAAAGTTTCAGGTTTATATAAGGTAACTAATGCAAAATTGTTAACAATACCTTCACTTAAATCATAAACTATTAAAGATAACTATGAAATATAGCCTAATGATTAATTATCTGAATAACATTTGGAAAATTTCTATAAAATGTAATATGTGTGATATAAATGTATAATTTATATAAAGATAAACTGTTAAAAATAAATTTACTTTAACTATAAAATATATAACTTATTAATTAAAATTTTACTTAATCTATATGCTACTAACAATTTAAAAATATAGATTACTGACTAATCACATAGTATTCAGATATATTCAATTAATATTTGAATATATTCTCTTATATATGTACTAAAAACTATATTTATAAAGATGTTGTTGTAGATATAAATAATTCTCTACTTAAGCCCCTTGCCATTTAAGATGTTTAAACTTCTCATGATAAACAGAACTATGCTTTGTTCTAGTTTCTGCCAGGCTTCTATTTTAGTTATATATACTTTGGAGTCAATTGCCTTCCTTTATCTGTTAAAAGGACAGGGTCAATTCTCCGAGTAAGTCCTGTCCAAAGACAATCTCAAAATCTAAATTTAATATCTGTAATCACTGCCCCCTATGAAGGTATGGCTAGATATACTGTTTAGCCAAAAAGCAAAGTATTTTATATTCCCTTTGAACATTTGAACATTTTTTTAAATGTAAAACTTAAAATTCTTCTGATTTTAATGAAGATATCTCTTTAATTTATATACATAGAGCCTTCTAAACAGGAAAGGAAATATTACTGCTTTTAACCAAAATTATTTCTAGGTTTTCAAACTTCTATTATGACTCGAAAAAAAAAAAAAATGAGTCTCCCTGCCTCTTTTATAACATGGATTTCAATACAGATTACAAATAGTAATAAGCTGATATATATATATATATATGAGAGCATTGAGGCTGGAACCAAAATGAAAGGTGGATGAAAACTTTGAAATGTAAAATGGTCTTTCCTACTACTAAACTTGGCCTGACTCTTGTTTTTTTGTTTTTGTTTTTGTTTTTTTTTTTTTCAGCACAGCGTAACAGATTTTACATCCTATGCTATCAAAACAAACAAAAGACAGGTTATGGATTCTACAAGCAAAATGTTCTCACCCACAAAGACCAGGTTGCTGTAATTCTCCAACATCACATCAATGTACAAAGCCCTCTGAGCAGAGTCCAGGCATTCCCACTCCTCCCATGTGAAGTTCACAGCCACATCCCTGAATGTCAACAGAAGCTGAAATAAAAAAATATGGTTTGACCAAGTGCTACCTGTAAGTGCTTTCCTAGGTATAAGGAGATGGAATGTATATGAGGTAAGACAAATAAAGGCACATTCTATCATGAATGCATTTTACATTTTCTGTGAAAACAGGATAAAACAATAGTCTTAAAAGCAATATACATAAAACAAGAAATACATTTAAGGTCTGGACAAATTATCTATCTGTTATGGATGCTGTGTTTATGACCCATAGGATCACAGTATACACGTCTCAGAAGGAAAATTCATGATAAGGAAATGTGCTTTAAATGCTGTAGCTGTCTGTGGATCATGCTAAAACACTGACACATATCAATCCCATGTGTACTTGGGCCTTAAATGACTATATTGTAATAGGCTTAGTTTTGATGCTTAAACTCTAGATACAATGACGCCATTGCACAGCAAAGGGGTAGGTAGGTATGGAAAACAGAATTTATGACTGATTTTATAGACAAGCATTTTGGGTTTTTTCCACACATGCAAGGATTATAACAGTACTACATGCTATAGATTTTTAACACTGCCATATAAATAAGTAGCCTATGGAATTAATTTTATGAGAATATTTGGGCCACTACAAACAGAAAAATTGGCATCAGCCATATTGATATAATTCAAAATTTTCCCAAGAATATGCATAAGCCATACAGAGACAAATACCAATTTCAGAAGTTTGAAGAATATTTCACTTCATTCCCAAAGAGTATAAATATTGAGGGAACTCCAAATAACACATCAAAAACTCTGAATAACGGTCATAGCAAGGATTTACTGAAGCATGAATAATAGCAACCCAGAGACTGATATTGGGGTTCAAGCTGAAGATCAGAGAAGCAAAGTAGCCAGCCACTAGCACTTAACTCTACTTTAGACAGAAATGGTGTTCCTGTCTCTATGAATCCTCAGAGTGCAATGCAGACTGCCTCCAAGCCTCAGAATCCTAAACTGCCCTTTGAGACTGCACTGAGCTTTTTATATACTCTCTAGTGCTGGGATTAAAAGCATGGGATCCCAAGTGCTGAGATCTCCTTTTAGACAGACTCATTCTTGTGTAGCCCTGGATGGCCTTGAACTCACAGAGATCCATCTGCCTTTGTCTCCTGAATCCTGGGATTAAGAATGTTTGCCACCACTGCCCCGTTTCTATAGCTAACTAGTATGGCTAGCTTTGCATTCTGATTTATTAGAACATAGATAATAATTTAGCAAAATTTAATTAAATACCGAGAAAATAAAAGTGCAAATGGGATAAATAGACATTTTCAAAGGCAGAAACTCAAATGGCCAATAAACATTGAAAAAGCTCTCAGGATCCCAAAAAAGGCCACCATGGTAACACAAAGTAAAACTACTTGGTATAGTGATATATTATTTATGATTCATTAAAGTTTGACTGAGGATTCAGAAAACCAAAGTCAGCCTCAAGCTATAGAGATCAGGCAGTGTTGGTATACACCGTTAATCCTAGGACTCAGGATTAAGAGGTAGACAGAAGTCTGTGAGTGCAAGGCCACCCAGATTTACACAAGATTGAATCAGTCTAAAAGAGCATTAAAGCTCATACCTTTAATCTCAGCATTAGAGGGGTATAAAAGACAGGAGAAAGTAGTCAGTAGGAGGTATTCATTCTCCAGTCATGCTGGGGAGAGGTTTCAGTTTGAGGCTTGGTGAGAGACAGGATCAGCTCAGTCAGCCTGAGGTGGCCCAGTGCTTTTCTTTTCTGATCTCCAGCTTGAAGTCTGAACCCAAGTATCAGTCTTTTATTAATTTATATTACAAGTTGGAAATACTACCTCATCACAGACAGAATGACTGTGATAAATTAACCTGGCAATAAGTGTTCGATGGCATGTGGAGAGAAAGGAAGCCTTACTCACTGTTGATGGAGGGGGAGGGTGCAAATTAATAAAGCCATTATGGGAATCAGTTTGGAGATTATTGAAAAAAAAATACAAGAGAGAACTAACATATGATTCAGCTTTTACTCCTGGCCAAAACAAAACACCCCACTACACAGATATTTATACCTCATATTTACTGCTGTTCTATCAGCAAAGGAAAAGCACTGGAGTCAAACTAATTATCAACAGATGAATGTGTAGTGAAAACTGTATAAAATGGAGTAAGTTCAGCTAAAGAGAATAATAGAAAATAAAAATTTGCAGGAAAATGGATGGACCTAAAATGGGTAATTTAGAAAACACTATATTTTCACTCATATGCAGAATTTACGTGTGTGTGTGTGTGTGTGTGTGTGTGTGTGTGTGTGTGTGTGTAATAATAGTATATGTGGGCATAGTATAACACGGAGAGGAGAACAGGAAAGGTTAAATTATAAGGGACTGAATGCAGGTAATGAACACCAGTTATGGGAAAGGACATAAAGCTAAGTGCTTTTCTAGTTCTAATTCTGGCAGCTTTTGGGTTTGGGTGGTGAATAAGTCAATCAAAATATGTTCAATTGTGAAATAGAAAAACCCATATGAGGCTCCAGAGCTCCTGTTAGCTATGAGGACTCTTAACTGTATAAAAGTACATTGAGTTGTACAGTCTTTGGGTCTGTTTAATTGCAGTAAGGGATTTTATTGTTTGTCTGCTTGCAGAATTCTTCATAAAATTTTAAAAAATTATCAGAAGCAGAAAATTAAAGATTTTTAATCTATCAAAGTATAACATATTTAGATATCAAGTGTAAAGAACCACTGACCTGCGACATGTTTACTGGAGTATCAGCCATTTCTTACTGTTTGACTTCTTTGAGTTTCTTTTTCAGGAACAATTAATAGATGCCTTGCTTCCCTTCAAATAAAGGGGTCAAAAAAAAAAAAAAAAAAAAAAAAAAAAAAGGATTAAACTTAATAGTGAAAGTTGATAGAGAAGAATGCCAAACCATACAAAAGACCCAAGCAACAGAATTCTACCAGGTGTAAAGTCAACGATACCAAACACAGGAAAGCATGGAAAGCATTTGAAGCTTGAAGACAAAAATCATCATCAAGCATTTTGTTACACAAGAAAACTGCTCTCTTAAAATTGGTGGAGATATAAGTGCATTTCAAGATAGTCACCAATGAACACAATTGATTTCTCTAAAGCAGCACTGGAGACAATAAATTAGAGGCAAAACACACACAGGAGAGTCAGAGAAATCATCCAGGAGGACATGGGAAGTAATAAATTTCATGGGAAGAATAGATGAATACAGGAGAACTGGGAAGTATTCATCTATGAGCAAGAGAAAAAGCCACTTATTTCTCAAAAGAAGAAGAATGTTAGACAATAATCCAACCATCAACAACATTAAAATGAAACCATAGGAAATAAAACTAGCCACACTGAACATCAAAACCAAGAATCCTCAATTAAATAAAATCTCATGTGAAATGAATTCAGCACATAACCCAGATGTTCCATTCCTTGGCATAGACACAAAGAACTTGACATTCTACCCCACAGATACTTGCTCACCCATGTTCATTTCTGGTGATTTTTTTGTTGTTGTTGTTGTTTTTGTTTTTGAGACAGGGTTTCTTCTGTATAGCTCTACCTGTCCTAGAACTAGCTCTATAGACCAGGATGGCCTTGAACTCATAAAGATCCACTAGCCTCTGCCTTCTAACTGCTGGGATTAAAGGAGTGTGACTAGTCATGATATTTTGTTTATGATGCAACAAATAAAGCTTGCTTGAGGATCACAGCATAGGCCTAGCCACACTAGCTAGGCATAGAGGCCAGGCAATGGTGGCACACATCTTTAATCCCAGCCTTTTGGGAGACAGAGGTAGATGATTTCTGTTATTTCAAGGCCATCCTTGGCTACATGAAATTGATCCAATTTGAAAGAGAAACAGAGCTCACAAAAAAATGATCCTAGCAACATAACAAACCTCAACAGATACAAAAAAAAATTGAAATAGTCCCCTGTATCTTATCAGACCACCATGCTTTAAAGTTGGAATTCAACAACACAAATCGCAGAAACCCTACAAACTCATGGAAACTGAACAATGTGCAATTGCACCATACCTGGGTCAAAGAAGAAATAAAGAAAGAAATTAAGGACTCCCTAAAATTCAAGGAGAATGAGGACACAACATACCTGAACTTATGGGACATCTTGAAAGCAATGCTACGAGGGAAGTTCATTGTACTCAGTGCCCATATGAAGAAAACGGAGGATAGTCACATTAGAGAATTAACAGCACAACTGAAAGCCTTAGAACAAAAAGCAGCAAACTCACCCCAGAGGAGTAGATGCCAGGAAATAATCAATTTAAGGGCTGAGATCAATAAAGTAGAAACCAGGAAAACAATACAAAAAAATAAAAAAATAAAAAAAAAAAATCAATGCAACAAAGAGTTGGTTTTTTGAGAAAATCAAAAAGATAGACAAATCTTCATCCAACTAACAAAAAAGCAGAAAGAGAACATGCAAATTAACAAAATCAGAAATGAAAAGGGGGACATAACAATGGACACTGAGGAAATCGAGACAATTTTCAGGTCATACTATGAAAACCTGTACTCCACAAAATTTGAAAATTCGAAGCAATTGAACAAATTTCTGGATAACTATCACTTACCAAAATTAAATCAAGAACAGACAAACAACTTAAACAGACCTATAACCCCTAACAAAATAGAAGCAGTCATCAAAAACCTTCCAACTAAAAAAAGCCCAGGTCCAGATGGCTTCAGTGCAGAATTCTACCAGAAATTCAAGGAAGAGCTAATACCAATACTCCTCAAATTGTTCCACACAATAGAAACAGAAGGTTCATTACCAAACTCTTTTTATGAGGCCACAATCACCTTTGTACCCAAGCCACACAAAGACACAACTAAGAAAGAAAACTACAGACCAATATCCCTCATGAACATTGATGCAAAAATACTCAAATATTGGCAAACCAAATCCAGGAATACATCAGAGAAATCATCCACCATGACCAAGTAGGATTCATCCCTGGGTTGCAGGCTGGTTTAACATGTGAAAATCTATCAACGTGATCCACCATATAAAAAACTGGAAAAAACCCCACATGATGCTGAAAAGCCTTCGACAAAATTCAACACCCTTTCATGATAAAGGTCTTGGAGAGGTCAGGGATAACAGGAACATACCTAAACATAGTAAAAGCAGTATACAGTAAACCAACAGGCAACATCAAACTGAATGGAGAGAAGCTTAAGGCGATTTCCTCTAAAATCAGAACAAGACAAGGCTGCCCTCTCTCTCCATATCTCTTCAATATCGCACTTGAAGTTCTAGCTAAAGCAATAAGACAACAAAAGGAGATCAAGGGGATCCAAATTGGAAAGGAAGAAGTCAAACTGTCTCTATTTGCAGATGATATGATAGTTTACATAAGCGACCTAAAAAACTCTACCAGGGAACTCCTACAGCTGATAAACACCTTCAGCAAACTAGCAGGAAACAAGATAAATTCAAAAAAATGAGTAGCCCTACTTTTTTCAGACGACAAAGGGGCTGAGAAAGAAATCAGAGAAACACCACCCTTTACAATAGCCAAAAACAACATAAAGTATCTTGGGGTAACGCTTACCAAACAAGTGAAAGACCTATATAAGAACTTTGTGGCTCTAAAGAAAGAAATTAAAGAAGATACCAGAAAATGGAAAGATCTCCCATGCTCTTGGATAGGTAGGATAAACATAGTAAAAATGGCAATCTTGCCAAAAGCAATCTACAGATTCAATGCAATCCCCATTAAAATCCCAGCACAATTCTTCACTGACATTGAAAGGATAATAATCAACTTTATATGGAAAAACAAAAGACCCAAGATAGCCAAAACAACCCTGTAAAATAAAGGAACTTCAAGAGGCATCACCATCCCCGATTTTAAGCTCTACCACAGAGCTATAGTTCTGAAAACAGCCTGATTTTGGCTCAAAAATAGACAAGTAGCCAATGGAATCAAATTGAAAATCCTGATATTAACCCACACACCTATGAACACCTGATTTTTGACAAAACAGCTAAAAGTATACAATGGGGGGAAGAAAGCATCTTCAACAAATGGTGCTGGCACAATTGGATGAGGGTGTGTAGAAGACTGCAGATAGACCCATGTCTGTCACCATGCACAAAACTCAAGTCCAAATGAATCAAAGACCTGAACATAAATCCAGCGACACTGAACCTTTCAGAAGAGAAAGTAGGAGGTACCCTTGAACAAATTGGTACAGGAGATCGCTTCCTGAACATAACTCCAGTAGCACAGACTGAGATCGATAATTAATAAATGGGACCTCCTCAAACTTAGAAGCTTCTGTAAGGCAAAGTACACAAGACCAAACAGCAGCCCACAGACTAGGAAAATATCTTCACCTATCCTACATCTGACAAAGGGCTGATCTCCAAAATATATAAAGAACTCAAGAAACTAGTCAACAAAACACCAAATAACCCTATTAAAAAATGGGGGTACAGAACTGAATAGAGAAACTCTCAATAGAGGAAATAAAAAAGGCTGAAAGACACTTAAGAAAGTGCTCAACATCCTTAGCTATCAGGGAAATGCAAATCAAAACAACTTTGAGATACATTCTTACTCCTGCCAGAATGGCTAAAATTAGAAACACCAATGACAGCTTATGCTGGAGAGGATTTGGAGAAAGTGGAACACTCCTCCACCACTGGTGGGAGTGCAAACTTGTACAGCCATTTTGGAGATCAGTATGGCAGTTCCTCAGGAAAATGGGAATCAGTCTACCACAGGACCTGGAAGTCCCCGTCTTAGGCATATACCCAAATGATCCCCATCCATGCAACAAAGACCTATGCTCAACTATGCTCATAGCAGCATTGTTTGTAATAGCAAGAACCTGGAAGCAACCTAGATGCCCCTCAACTGAAAAATGGATAAAGAAGTTGTGGCACATCTTACACAATGGAATACTACTCTGCGGGGGCAGGGGGATGACAAAAGAATGGGATCTTGAAATTCACAGGCAAGTGGATGGAACTTGAAGAAACCATCCTGAATGAGCTAAGCCAGTCACAAAAAGAGGAACATGGTATGTACTCGCTCATATATAGATTTTAGACACAGAGCAAAGGATCACCAGCCTATAATTCACACCGCCAGAGGACCTAGGATACAAGGTGGATTCTAAGGGATTCATACAAGGTCCCTCACAGAAGGGGGAAGGGACAACATCTCCAGAGCACATGGGGAGTGGGGGGGCAGTGAGTGAAGAGGGAACTAGAAGAAAGAGAAGGGGGGGAGAGGAAAGCACATGGGACTAGGAAGATTGAGTAAGGGGAGGAAAAAAAAAGAGGAGAGAGACAGAGACAGAGAGAGACAGCATAAAAGAGGGAGCCATTATAGGTCTGAAGAGAAAACTGAACCTAGAGAAATGTCCAGAGACCTACAAGACTGACCCCAAATAACAATTTGAGCAACAGTGAAAAGGCTACCATAAATGCCCTTTCCTGATAATGAGATCGACGGCTAACTTATCCACCATCATGGAGCCCTCATCTGGAAACAGAAGCAGACACCCACAGCTAAACACTGAACCGAACTGGAATCCAGATGCAGGGAAGGAGAACAAGACTAGGCTGCAGAAACACATAGAGACAGCTGACCTGAACAAGGAGGAGCTAATGGGACTCTAGACTGATAGCTGGGAATTCAGCATGGGACTGACGCAGACCCCCTGAACATAGGTCTCAGCTAGAAGGAC